AGATGACACCTTTCAGAGCACGGAGGGGACTGTTAGTGGCCTGAGGAAGTTAAGGAAATGAACAATTTCCTTCCTATTCCAAGAAAGATCAGGCTTGTTAGGAAGGCTAGCTGATTAATTTCCCGTGCAGCAACAGTAGACATGCTGCCTTCCTGGGTCCTAGAGGACCCCACTGTATCATTTCTGTCCAAGAAATGGAGCTGTCAAAGCCATCACTGTGTGTAGTTGGCTTGAGGTAGTGGTTGTGTTTCCGCAAAGAGCTCCACAGAAGACTGAAGGTAAGTTAAATATAGGAGATAGGAATTCAAGTCAGTAATGTATTAAGCTTCTACCTGGTTAATGAACAGAATTATACTAGCTCATTGCAGTTCTGATCCCTCAGCAAATAAGAGTAAAATTCTGAGGGCTTCAAAAATACCTAGAAAGCTATTCCCATATATTTGACAGTGGAAGCAACCAGCTGGGCTCAATCTGACATTTAAATTCTAGACAATCAAGAAATAGACTCTTAATTATAGAGAACAAACTGATGGTTACCAACGGGGAGCTAGGTGGGAGGAGTGGGTGACAGAGGTGATGGGGATGAAGGAGGGCACCTGTCGTGATGAACCCTGGGTGATCCATGGAAGTGCTGAGTTGCTATATTGTACACCTGAAACTAACAAAACAATGTAAAAAATAAAGAAAATGATAAAAAAAAGTAACTGAGGAAATCTAAGAACTAACTAACTAACTAAATAATGAATCCTAAATGATATTTTAATCAGTTGGAGGCAAGCATAATGGTGCCATCCTCTCAGAAACAAATTTCCATCATTCCATCTGCCCCTTTCTAGTGCTGGAATAGGATGGTTCTTAGCCTCGTAAAAATGCAACTCAGACCAGAATCTTATTATTTTTAGAAGTCTGTCTCTTACCATAATTCCCTCTGTGTTAACTGAGTAGCAGGAATGTCTGTGGACTCCTTAGCAAGGATCCTCAAAGGCAAGTTCAACTTACTGTACTTATTTATAAGATTGTCTGTGCTTTAGTGGGCATTTACCCCAAAGATACAGATGTAGTGAAAAGAAGGGCCATATGCTCCCCAGTGTTCATAGCAGCAATGGCCACAGTTGCCAAACTATGGAAAGAGCCAAGATGCCCTTCAACGGATGAATGGATAAAGAAGATATGGTCCATATATACAATGGAGTATTATGCCTCCATCGGAAAGGATGAATACCCAACTTTTGTATCAACATGGATGGGACTGGAGGAGATTATGCTGAGTGAAATAAGTCAAGCAGAGAGAGTCAATTACCATATGGTTTCATTTACTTGTGGAGCATAAGGAATAACATGGAGGATATTAGGAAAAGGAAAGGAAAAGTGAATTGGGGGAAATCAGAGGGGGATACGAACCATGAGAGACTGTGGATTCTGAGAAACAAACTGAGGGTTTTGGAAGGGAAGGGGGTGCAGGGTTGGGTGAGCCTGGTGGTGGGTATTAAGGAGGGCACATATCGCATGGAGTACTAGGTGTGGTGCATAAACAATGAATCTTGGAACACTGAAAAAAATAAAATTAAATTAAAAAAATAAAAATGTGGCTACAAGGAAAAAAAAAAAGATTGCCCATGCTTAATCAGCTTTCCTGGGTAAAGCCCTACATGACTAAGTATCTGTTCAGGGTTAGATCTTGTTCACACTGTCCTGTTCGAAGAGGAGAGACAAAAATACCTCGCTTAAAGATTCTTGCCATGGGTTGTCCAAAAAATCTGGTAAAAACATACGCCTGGATCAAGACAAACCATGGCCACTAGTGAAAAATCAATTTAGCGGGTATGACTCTCCCAAATGTGTTAGGAGATACTTTTTTATATCACAGGAAGATACTCACCATGCTGTTCCATCCTTTGTGCCATATGAATCGAACACATCATAAATAAACCTGTCTGTTGCTAGAAAAAAACAGTGTACGTCTACAAGTATTTCTTAATAAAGCTGCAACTTTATACAGTGAATTCAATATATTAAGGGCGTTACCATATTGTGACCTAATTGTGATACTCATTTCAGATATTCTTTTTAATAGGTTTTATTTATTTTGATTTCTTAAAATATTTTATTTTTTTTTCATTTTTCAATTTTTTTAAAAGATTTTATTTATTTATTTGATAGACAGAGATCACAAGTAGGCAGAGAGGCAGGCAGAGAGAGATGGGGATGCAGGCTCCCTGCTGAGCAGAGAGCCTGATGCAGGACCCGATCCCAGGACCTTGAGAACATGACCTGAGCTGAAGGCAGAGGCTTTAACCCACTGAGCCACCCAAGCGCCCCAATTTTATTTTTTTTTTAAATACTATTTATTAGAGATAGAGTGAGAGACAGAGAGCACCAGCAGGGCAGAGGGGCAGAGGGGTAAGGAGAAGCAGACTCCCTGCTGAGCAGGGAGGCCGACACGGGACTCCATCCCAGGACCCTGGGATCATGACCTGAGCTGAAGGCCAACATGTAACTGACTAAGCCACCCTGGCACCCGATTTTAGGTGTTCTATGGCTGATATCTGCATGTGTATCTTCTACATGGCATTTAGCTCAGGGGAACAACCATACCAGTACATGCTTCTGTTCTATAAAGTTTTAGTTATGTCTTGGAAATTCAGTGTTTACTTTTTAATCAGAGTTTCTTTCTTTTCTTTTCTATTTTCCTAAACACACCTTAGAGTGGTTACTTTCCAACATATTTTTGGCCAGAGTGCTAACCAATTATTATTATTTTTTTTCATTCTGGGGTGGCCACAAGCATCCAGTATTCACTAACAGCATCTCCATATGCTAAAGACTTTAACCTACTGTTTTTCCTACATTGTTTAATGAGACAGGCTGGAGATAATATTTTTATTTTACATCGGGGAACTAAATGATATTTACTGTTTTTACTACGGAACTCTTCCATAGTAGACCGGAGCCAAAGTGAGAGATAATAGTTCTAGACCACGATTCAGGCTTCTCTGATTGGTTCAGAAGTGACGGCCACAGCTTCTAAACACTACCATTTAATTTAAGCAATGTGAGTCTCTTCAGTGGGGGGAAGGAAAGGCTTGCTGACAGTATATCATTTGTTCATTATACTATGGAGAGTAATTATAGGTTGCTGCATACATTTAGAAACTAGTCTATGTGGTTTAGAAAAGAAAGAATTAAGATCATGCAAAATTATGTTTTTTAAATTCAAAATCAATAAAAAAATAATGTGACATGTCGGACCTTTCCTAGGGTTCAGTGTGCTAAACATGTAAAGTGCATTAAGATGTGGAAACTGTATCCCTTTCATTACATTATTCTACAGCGGTCACTTATTTCGTTTTGGTATAAAAGTAATTATTGTTCTGAGCATAATAGTATATATACATTTCCTTTACCCGACACCAGCGCTCCAATTACAATCTACTTCAATTCAAATTAATCATGCCAAGATGGCAATTCCATTACACTGGGAGTAAAATTTAATAATCTAATATATGGCTATAGTTTCAATGGTGAAATCTATGTGGTTAACTACTTTAGGGATTTATTAAGATTAAAGTTAAACATAATGCATCTTAATCAGACCTTTAGTTGGAAAACTCTTGTTACAAAACATGGTTGACCAGGGTCTATGTAATCCTTCTGCAGGGGCATTAAGCTCCACTTAAAACCTTCATTTTGAGAGCTATCTAATAATGGGAAAGATGTTAAATTATTGATATAAGATGTTTTGATTTAATTTCAACTTTATTATATTATTTAACATCTGTTATAATGCGATCCTGTGCATAGGGTTATGCTTCAGACCAAATGACAAAATATTCTGTACAAGAGAGCAGGGTTTATTTACGTAGAAAAATACATCTCATTTTAAATGTATCTAACCTAAGAATGCATATAAGGAACAATTAGCTCCAATTACAAGGCATCTTTCTGTGTCTTAAACAGGGCCTTAGTGGATAAAGAGCTAATCCCCATCTAAAATAAACCACTTACTTCCTCTCTAGCAGCAAGAAGGCCTGTCCAGCCGGGCACTAGCCGGAGAGAAAGAAAAAGTTTTAAGCCTTCATATAGTCATGTAAAGGTTGCACTGTGATCTTTAAACACTGCCTTTCCTCCAAGGTTCTGCAATCCTTAATTGCTTTTTTTAAAAGTCATTTTTCCAAAAAGTAGGAAAAAGTGCTGTAGTAACTTCACAGCACAAAATTAATTTATGTTTTGCTTATTGTCTTTTTAAGTCAGAGATGCGTTGTCAAATGTGAAACCAAGTGACCGCAAAACAAATTTCATTTCTCTATAAATGAACTTTGGTCACATCAATCTGGATTTTGAAATTCTTTTTTAATCCTTTGCTGTTTTGGGTGTGATTCAGAAACACAATTCGTGGTCTGGCACACCATATCAGACTGAGATCCAAACAAGACGGATCTGAGAAAATTCTAAATTACTTTTGAATATATAGATTACACTGTTAAATTTTATCTCTGGTGAAATTTAAACTACAGGTTGAAATTGGAAACCATTTCATATCCTACATGCTAATATACTTCCTTTGCCTGCAGACATATTTTACCAATGTTTTACCTTTTGTGAGTGGCTATATTGCAAAGCTGGGATATAAGGAATGTGAAAAGCTGTCCAGACTTTACCATCAAATCTATGTTGCATCATCAGAGGGAGCCTGGGCCTTCTCACCTTTACCCTTTGGAAAAGAGGAGGTCAGATTTTGGAGAAGAGGGGTAGGTGCTCCCCCTTCATTTTCTTACTTCCAAACTGAAAAGTATTTAGAAAGCAAACAGGCAATCTGATGTTTTGAGAAATACTCGGGAACTGATATATCTCCAGTGGGACAGCCCTCAAGGTTCATTTCGACCCTTGGCAAGAGGATTACACCTGGTTCAAAGCCTAGGGAAGCCACATCCAGTGAGACACGACTTTCTTAAAACCAGTTAGTTTCTAAAGCAAAACATCTTGCGGTTTTAAAAACTTACGAGGGCTCTTCTGACACAGCGGCTCCTTCTTCCAGCTCTTGAGCTTGCTTGTACCACGGAAGCCTGGCCTCTACTGGAAGCTTCTCTGAGAATTAAGTGCATATAAAAGAGAAGAGGTTAGAACCAATTTGGAATTTTACAGAAATTCCTTTATCTCTTCACCAGTTCCTTTTTTTCACACTACCTAGAAACCATGCTGATAACCGCAAGTGGTAAGTTTTTAGGTAAATTCCTCTTTTTTTTTTTATTATAAATTCCTGTTTCTGATGATGGTTATATCAAGAAAAAAAATTTTTTTAAATGTTTAGTAATACTAATCTACCAGTCTTTTTGCTGCCCTTTTATTATGTTGAAAAGCAAAGGGGAGTTTTTTATTATTATTACGAAAGTCATTAGTAACACTGACTCAACATGTATACAAAGAGTCATCAAAGCATCTCTTCATGATTTCCTGTTAAAAAGATAGAATATTTATCTTTAGAGATGAACACGAAGTGCAATAAATTATACTGTAATACTTCAACAATTTCTGACTTGTTTTTCCTTTTTCTTTCTGATGAAGTGATCTATGCCATATTGTCACAAACAAACCAGGCTGCCACTCCGAAATTCACAAAACATTGCTTTAGGTCTCTGACTCCACCCGCGCCCCCTTAAGGCTCACAGACAGCCAGAATATGAACAATTTAGGGTCCATGACCTATAATTTGACTGCTTCACCTCTTTATCTAGCTTTGGCCACACAATTCAGGACAAGCTTCCTAACTACTTCCTGGAAAAAAAAAGAAAAAAGAAAAAAAAAACAAAACAAAACCAGAAAACTGTAAAGGAGAAAGAGGTTCTAACTGCTCCTACAGAAGTAACTGCCAAGATTCCCATTTTGACATATTTATTAGGATCATTTATAGGGATATTTGCCTTTATAGTATGAGCCAGTGAAGCTCTATCACCATTTTATGACATATAATTGTAAAGATGAAAGAAATATGTCTCTCTATGCATACACCATAGAATTATATGGCATTTTAATGATGTTTAGAGAGCCACGCTCACTACTTAGTTGTGAAAATCCAGATTTCATTCTTGATAGTTAACCACAAACTGCTTCTCTTTCTCTGAAGCGGCCTGGTAAAGACAGAGCTAATAAATAATGGACTATTTAAGTTAGGGGCATCACTTCTTGTCCTCTGTGTGCAGCAATCTTTTCTTGTCAGAAGACAAAGTGAGTGAGAAACATAAAAGCGCTGAGGCCGGAAGGATCTGCTAACGTTTAAACACAGGGACACGGGCCCCCTATGCATACATCATTTTACAGGTAGCCCATGTCTCCCAACTAAGTGACTCAGTCAACCGTGCCGTGTCTGCCACTTCTGTTTCAGTGAGGAAGTGTTCAGCCGGCACTGTGAGGCCTGCCATTCTCTATTGTCTGTTTGAAGCGGATCCTGTCAAAGGTACTGGTGGCCTCTTTCTCCCATAGCTGAGGACGCTAATGATAGTCAGGAGTGGAAGATGACACGTGTGGAGAACTGACTGTATTAATTAATTAATTAATTACTCAGGCAGTGAGCTAAGCATCCTGTCTGCACTATATCTCATGTAATACTCACATGATCTCTGAGGTAGTTACTATTACTAGCCCCATTTCACAGATGAGGAAACTGAGCTTCAGTTTACTGAGAAATGGAGGGAGAGAGATTTATTTATTACAATGAATCAGAATTTGAGGTATTTTTGGTTTTATTTCCATCATATCATTTAGATTTCATGATGCCATTCACTCACACCAAGGGCACCCTATAGTAAATAAAGAGGTACACAGTGGCTGATTTTCTGAGAAATGTAATGGTTGAATTAAGAAACAAAAGGGAATCATATTTAATAATAGGAGGTAGCTTATAATAAGGAGTTCTCTTCTTCTGAATTGTTTGCGACTTGGGTATTTTCTATTTTCTTGACATGGTTGGCAGCAGTATCAGCAAAGTAAGTCCAATCAGCATAAGTGCCAGTCTGTGCAATTATAACAAACCTCGCTCACTCAGTAAAACTTCTCTAAAATTCGCTTTTTATAAAACTATTTGCAGTATCTGTTAAATTCCGATTTATTCCAGATTTCCATTTCAAATTATGGTTCTGGAATCTTGTCTCATATTAATGTTTTTGTTTTCAATTTAAGAAGCAACTCCTTTCTGTTTCAGCCATGTGAAGTATGAGGACTCGTAATGCATTTCCTTCTTCCCAAAGTAGACACTCTCCGATTGACTGGTTGACTATTATTTTTAACAGCAAGAAATGTGACTAGTAAATTACACATGTATTTCTCCAACATCTCTATAATATCTCTTTTTAAGCACATGCAGTTGATACTTTTCAGCAACAGTCTTCAAACAGCTTCACAGCCCAGGAGAGAATTATGTAAGTATGTAACACTTAATAACAATTTGCAAGCAAAATGATTGGAAAGATTTTTAGGAAGAGTTAAGCCCACTTAGTAGAGTCTAAGGTCCATACAAGGGTTAATTAAGAACACTAGGGATCTTTAAAAATATCCCAGGAGTTTCAAACAGTCCCCAAAGAAGACACATAACAATGAAAAGACCCGTAACGGAGCACCTGTTGAGTTACCTTTGGGTTTATAGCAGGGAGTGGGTATGACACATTCCTCTTTTATGTGGGGCTTGGTTTTGGGGCTACAACCTCCTGTGTGCATCCCGCGATGGTCGATGCAGAGGACCACCCGATACCTGAGGCCCTGGCCACATGTCACCGTGCACTGGAAGGAGAATGCAAGAGAGAGGAGACTCATAGCCAAGCTTCGTTTCCTTTGCCTCGTTTCTCACCCAAGAGTCTTTTAAGGGCTGCTTTTAGATAAGGACTCCTGGTGGGTTTGTACCATTTCTTACCATTCATGGAGTCTTTGTTCTATTTGGCTATTTAGGGTGAAGGTGGCTGAAAATTCAATCACTTTCAATTTCTTAGATTAGTTCGGCAGCATTCCTTAAGCACCCCCATGTGCTGAGTCCCAAACCAAGCCGCAAAAAGAAGGAGAAAAGAAACTGTAGAGTGTGCTCACTTTCGATTACTAACACTGCATTTGACTTTATTTAGTCACTTCGTTAGCTCCCACGTGGACATTAACCCTTTGTAAACTGCTATCATAGTAAATTTATATTGCAGCATGGCTGATCCGATTGACTATACTGACATGGTCAAAAATGTTTCAGGGGGTTGACTCAATGGTCAGATGTAGACAGCACCTCCAGTGCTTCTAGATGCCAGGGAGCAAGTCTAGATAGAGAGAAACGTCACAGCTCTGATCCTGCTGCCCCAAAGCCACACAGTGAAGTGAGAAGTCTTTTGCCAACTCTGTGGCTCGGGGCACAGAGTTTACCTCCTCATCTTTCTATCTCTTTTGCCATTTTAAACCTTTTGAATTAGCAGCCAGGAAACCCCAAATAACATATTATTTAAGCTGCTGCAACAGTCTCCCTATGTTCTAGAATGTTCTGCTTTTAATTATCCTACTTCCTCCCTGTTCTACTTATTTTTCCATTTCCATTTCACATTTTTTTTTTCAATGAAAATACAGATAGTTTTAATCAGAATTTACTCTTTACCCTTTTTGGATAAGAAACAAAACCCAAAACCCAACTGTGGTCTACTGAGCTCTATCATCGGAGCAGCTTCTAGACATTGCGGATCAGTCATTTGGCCTCACTGAATCTTGACAGACCCTGGCCTCTCTTTGCCACTTGAGGGAACGTTATGAGAGACAGAGGCTTCTTGGAGTAACTTGAAGAAGTTATGTAAATCTACATGTTTACACCTGGCTATGCTGGGTTTGGGGCGTGCCTATGTCAGGAGCTAAACTGGACGGCTTCTGGACACTTTGAGAGCAGTGGGGAGCTGCCCAGGGTAGCCGGCCGGGTCATGGCGATGAGAGGGAAGAGTGGACTTACTCTCCTAACGAACAAAGAAAGAGGGCACAGTTACCGGAGACCACTCCTGTGCCAGCCATTTAGGACAGTCAAAAATGTTGCAGGGCTGCACGATGGGCATCTTAGGGGTGTACATGCATTTCCACTCTTCCACTGAGGTGACATGCCCCTGGATGTCCTCCTCCACACAGGAAACTGCCCGGCTCTGGATGCCCCCCCCACACGAGGAGGAGCACGCGGTCCACGGGGTGGCCTCCCACCTACAGAAGCAAGGGGAGTCATCAGGGTGGACATGCACATTGCCAAACCTCCTCAGTGACCTTTCCGACCAACCCCGTTCCCAGTGCCTATTGGGGCAATCAGGTTCTGAGAGGCTACGGTCCAGAGATCGGAAAGCCATCTAATGCCTAATAGCGGACGAGGGAGAGCGAAGGATTCAGTGTCAGCAAAAGTGCTCTGGAAACCTCGAAGCTCTGCGCCAAGTGTAAGAAATTACTCTTTTGAGAGCTGTCCACAGGGCGACCTGGGCTGTCTGTAACCTACTCAAAAGATGGCTATTCGGTCCCTCTCCTTATAGTTTGAATATATATTCTGTGTACCATATTCATATTATTTCATATCTTATAAATATATCCTGTATCTATGTTATATATAATATTTAAAATATTTACATATTTAAAATAGATATAATATTTAATATAGATATTTAATATTAGTATTTATAATATTAAAATATAAAAAATATATGTTTACTAAATGTCACTCAATATCTTTGTCAAGATTACAACTGGTTACTCAGTTAACACTAACAGTTTGCACCTAGGCTGTTATTTTCTATTTTCAATGCATTGCTTTATCACTTAGCTTCTGGATACTTTTACATTGAGAAGCTCATGAATGGTGAAGGTAAACCAAACGTTCATCCCCTCTCCCTTGCTTCTACAATCATCAGCTTTGGGACTACATGGATTCAGCACAATTTTGATGTTGAAACTAGCCCATCATTACACTAACAAGCAAAAGTAATAATGTGCGTTATTATCTTCTCATTCCCTAACTGTTGAGGGATACTGGCAGTTAGCATTCCCCGGACAAAGAACTGTGGGAATTGTGAAGAAAGTTTGGTTTGGATTGGAAGGCTGATGGCATTGGAATCTAAAGATACAGTTACCTAAGGGAGAGGATTACAGTATTATCAATAACATTTAAGAGAGTTCCATTGATTTTTTTTTTAGATCTCTACACAGCTCTGAAGCATTTGGACCAGAAGCTGACAGATATTTTTGCCTGATTCTTTTCTCTCCTCCTGCAGATTTAGAGAACATAGAATTTTTAAAAATAGAAATACTGAGACTGAGCCTGTCTTTCCTGCATATGTTCTGCTTGTTGCTGAGGATTGCTAAGGAACTTCAAGATTTCTCTTAGAATTAGGAGGCATATAATTTTAATGAGAGAGAAACAAAATATCCCCAAGTCGATCTATTGGAAAGTTAAATGTAAAAATATTGCACAGGCATACCGTGGAGATAGCAATTATCCTTTAAGTAAGATTTCATGTATATTGGGAACCCGACTTCTCTTTTGCATGAGCGTGGATATGGTGTGTTTCCCAGGTAACAGAGGATTTTCCTCCACATTTTCTCTGCACCGTTTGAGTCTAGGTAACAACTGTCACCTCTATTGCCAACAGCCTAAACGGGCTGCCAAGTACTATATTTTCCCCAGGAGAGACAAAAGAAAATGCTATTATGGGAAAACTGAGGCCCTCTGTTTAGCCCTTAGGAGACTTTATGAGCTCTTTCAAGAGAATGAAGCAGCTCTGTAGAGGGTGTCTCTTGAAAAGGCGAAGACCAATTCTCATTTATCTCCATGTAAATCTCTGGAGAGTTTCCCTCTGTATATGGATAACAGGTCTGATTCAGAATGATATATAAGTACATATTCACATTAGATTTGATCTGACAGTGAAGTGGGAATATGTTTTTGAATGCATATTTAATCTCTTAAAACATTAAGATGCCATAAAAAAAGCACACTTTCTAATTGGTACTCAAACGTCCCTAAACTTGACCCTTCTAAAGAGACAGTGATTAATTTCTGTCTCAACATTTGGACCTGACCCATAGTGTGATTTCACAAACAGGAATAAGTATCCTTTTCAGTGTCAGCGATCACAGAAAGACAAATGATGCTAATATTATTCTAAGAATTTATAATATGGGTCCATCGTACCCATACTTCTATATGTGAAAAATTATTGTGTGATTCTTGCCATAATAATAGGGTTATGAGGAATTTCAAGGCAAAACATGTCTGAGTGCTTTAAAGAAAGTATAATAAAAGCTGAGAGAAGGCATCAGTTAGAATATCTTAAAATAGGGACCAGGTAAGTGCTTGGGGTAGGGGAAATAAAAGCACATATCCAAGATCCCTGCCCTGGAAGAATAAAAAATCAGTTCATATATCACGTATTTTAATTCTGATGGCTTTAAATTTTTTAAACACATAGTATGTTTAAGAAATTCTCAAAACTAAGAGTAATATGGAAAATTTGTGTATGTTAATTATGATTTAATAAGATTCTGTTCTCCTATTATGTTCAGGTATATGTCTCAAAGACTGAAAGCAAGAAAAAAGTCTAAAAATTCCTTAACTTTGCTTTGTTATCTATACTTGTGGTCTAAAACCCATTTAAATAATCAATATGGAAAGCCTTCTGCCTTGATCAGAAGGTAGCTGCCATCTGAGAATCATTTTTGAGCCTCAGTTTTTAACTCTGGATCATTTTGGAGATTCAATTCTTCTTGTAGAAACATATTTGTAGAAATTGCTTCCATTTACTAAGATTTTATCAATTAAGCAGAACTTTAGCAGAATCTAACTTTAGAATTAGCTCAGTAACAGAAGTGCAAGGAGCAGGAAATACAGTCTGTTTATTTGTGATTGTCCTTTCCCATTGTGATGCACGGACAGGCCAATGTGTACACAGGAGAACATTAAGGGGGCCCATTTCAATCTATCATTGAGAATACTGGGCTTCTGACATTTGGGGGAAATCAGAACATATAAGAAATGAAGTTTAACCTAAGACGGCATTAGTCATACCGGAGAAATACAAACAAGAGAAATCACAGATATGAAAGAAACTTAGGAGTGCTATTATAAGAAAAATATAAATTCAACGTTGCTCACCCCTGACACCCAACTTTGCTTTTATGATAAAATATATGGCCTTCCCACAAACAGATATGTGTCCTGTGGATACTTATTTTACAGATAAAGAAACTGAAATCAGATGAAATCTTGGTTCAGTTAAATTCATCTTCTTATATTTTCATTCCATTTCTTTTTTCAAGAAGCATTTACTCTAGAAGTTTGGTTTTGGATCAAGCCAGCAAAATGATCTATCAGCATTCTAAAGTCATTTATCATCTTTATCAATATAGTCATAGAAAAGTGGGAGGGAGCTAACTAATGGTGGGAAAACTTAAAAAGAAAAAGATTCAATGCCCCTCTCTACATGCTACCATTAGGATGGTGAAAAGTGGGTTCTGTACCAGTCACTGGAAATATTTAAGTAGAGGCTGGATGACAGCTTGCACTGGGGTACACGTATTATCTAAATCTCTGTGTGCATACCCGAATGGTATGCACTAAATACACATATGGATATTTGTGCAAATACACTCATTTATAAATGTAGGGCATATGAGCATGATTGCTTGGAAGGAGTAGGACAGGGAAGCCTCTCTGGGGAGCTGAGTTCAATGACCTCATGAGCCCCTGTTTGGATTCCATTTCATGAAGCATTTGGAAATTTTCAATCAAACTTTTTTTTTTTTTTTTTTTTTTTTAGTTCAGAATAAAGTTATTTTCTAGGCTTGGTTTGGTTTGAGATTCAGGAAACTACCATGGATTATTCACACTATTTGTGATCTGATGGAAACTCTGAGTTCTAAAGAGGAGCTGATGCCCTCGAGTCCAAGTGAGCAAAGAGGATAGAGCAAAGGCATCTCCTAGCACAGGGGTTCCATCAAAGCCCGATTCTAATTTATGTTGTCTGGGGACCTGTTTCCAGTGTGGCAGATCACACACTCAAGAACTGGCGTATTTTTGAGCCTCTCCAGTTTTCGTATGAATATATTAATAAAGAGAACAAGGTCTCTTAAAATTTCCTCAGTCACTTTTTTTTTTCTAGTTGAAAAAAGGCCTGTCCTTTAAAAAGGCAGCACAGCACATGGAATTGGGTATTTTGAGAAAAAAATGTCCCCCAAATGTTCTGAACAATAAGGATGGGAAAACATTGCCTTTTGGTACACAATTATAATTTCTCTGCAACACAAAGAAAGATATTTAAAGCCCCTAGGCAGAATAATACCACATCTGGAATCCCACATTTGCAGTTCTGTGATAATGCCTCTGGCAGTGTTTGCTTAACAGTTAGCAACAGGGCTTTAATGCCTAGGGCCCTACTGCAGAGAAACAGAAGAGGACAAACGAGTGAAAGAAAGACACAACATAACCCATACACTGTATCTAATCAGAGTCAATGACTGTGTCCACTTCAATGTAATAGGATCTTATCTTAAAACGGTTTTTGAATGACCAGCTTAGAGTTCGAGCAGAAGCAGAGCTCAGGATAGGTTGCAAAATATACCATCTATCAGCTTACTTTTACAGGAAAACACACAGTCTACAGCTACATAGATACATAAAAGAAGCAGAAGGCTGATTTACTAATTCTAGCATCAGGATGGTTGATTTACGTACCGAGGAAGGGGATGGTAGAGGTCATAAGGCATGATCTGCTTGTATCCGTCACTGTTAGGAACAATAATGCCAACCCTCTGAGTAGAAGGTACACACAATAAAATAAACACTAAATGATTACATTATACAAATTTTGTTAGACAAATGCAAAACAACATTAATAATCATCTCTGAAAACAACACTACAACAGTTCAGTATCTTTATACTCGCAGATGCGTGAGGATGGGGCAAGTTCAAGGGCACCGTTTACTATAATTAGTTCTCTGATCCAAGCAGGAAATACCACTGGAAAGGGTGGTGGCGAGAAAACTTGGCACCTCATCATTAACTATGACACAATAGGCTTGTAAATGTTCTTTAATCCCCCCAATTATACATCCTATGAGGTCATTATTATCATTATTCATGTTACTTCCAGATGCTCCGCAAGCAATTACAGTTACTGTCTCACTCCTGATGAAAGAGAGAGCTCCGTATACGAGTATGTACCTGGGGATTGCCAAAACTTGGGAATGTGCATGAGCAAATACGTTTCTTCCCTTGGCATATCTCAAGATTTTAGTAAATATCTGGAAAGCAGTCACTGGGTTATTGTTATGAAGGGAGAGAGAACGAGCGAATATAGTAGGCAACTAGCAATTAAAGCAAGTTTCCTACCAAGATAAAGGCAGAACACTTAAAATGGATAAAAAATATGAAAAATCATTTTTGTGGTCTATAAAAATGTGATATAATGTTAACCACGATTACAGTGCTGGTTGTGATGGTTGTGACCATTGCTGGTCTATCTGGTGCCCTGGGAAACATGTGAGATTCAGAGACAGTCTAAAGGAGCCATAAGAAATGACTTTATAGGGTATATGGCTAATGGATTCATAAGAAATGATATTATTGGCTGTGTGGAAATCCCCAGAGGCCTTATGGACACTAATAAACTACATTAAACTGCCTCACTGATTTCAGCTAAAGCTTCTAATTGGCAAGATTTTCTTGCAGCGTCCCCTGGCTTGTGGAAGATTTATGATGAATTGGTCTCAGATAAAAGGGCTAGTATAATAGACCCTCCGTCAAGAGTGGGAGACAGAAAGGGCTCAACACACAGCTGTCACTGTGGTACAGAACAGGGTAGGGCATGAGCAGAAGAGACGTATTTTGCAACTGACGAGTGATGGGAAGTCCTTCTTTTGAATAATGAAGGAACTCACATAGCCTCTATGTATCCCTGGGGGACAAGGATGGGTGTATATTTATATATCCACATTTGATATAAATGTTGATGTTTTTATTTAAATGAATAAACTAAGGCTTCAATTTTAATTTCATTCTCTGATATAGGATGACACAATATATTCTTTTTATTTTTTTAATTAATTTTTTATTAACATATAATGTATTATTAGCCCCACAGGTACAGGTCTGTGAATCGCCAGGTTTACTCACTTCACAGCACTCACCATAGCACATACCCTCCCCAATGTCTATAACTGAACCATCCTCTCCCTACTCCCCTCCCCCCAGCAATCCTCAGTTTGTTTTGTGAGATTAAGAGTCTCTTATGGTTTGTCTCCCTCCCAATCCCATCTTGTTTCATTTTTTCCTTCCCTACCCCCAAATCCCCCCACTATGCCTCTCAAATTCTCCATATCAGGGAGATGATATGATAATTGTTTTTCTCTGACTGACTTATTTCGCTCAGCATAATACCCTCTAGTTCCATATACGTCATTGCAAATGGAAAGATTTCATTTCTTTTGATGGCTGTGTATTCTTTTTTGATGGCTAGCAAATCTTAGCTTTTGGGTAAAATGGGTGAACTCGGGTGGATCAGATAAAAACAGCACTGACTTGAGATCATCATAAATAAGAGGGAGTGATAAAGAGGGTACTTTCTGAAGAAATGACTGAAAGGTACGAGGATACATGAAAGAAATTAAATTTAAAGGACAAGGGGAAACAAAGCTATGAAAAATAGATATGTATTCCCAGAAGAGACAACCATTGGCATATTAATTTACTTGTTTATCTTACATGACTGAATTTTCTATATTTATCTGTATGATTAAAGTTTTTGTACTCATTTGCTAGGCTAGATTTTCATTGTGTATGGATGGGCATCTCCATAAAGTAAGAATATTCATGAAACTCGATGCTGCCTTTTGAATAAAGTCAAAATCCCGTAGCTCTAACAGAAAAATGGAATGGATCCTAACATTGAACTTTTCTCCCTGTTTTTCCAAGTTAGAGAATGTTCCTCTTCTTTTCTGCCTTCTTCTGACAGAAAAATTAAATGTGAAAGACTGATCCTATCTTTTATTATAATCATGTGCTCTCTTTCCAATAATTCTTTTTTTAAAAGATTTTATTCATTTGACAGAGAGAGAGAGAGATTTCAAGTAGGCAGAGAGGCAGGCAGAGAGGGAGGGGGAAGCAGTCTTTCCGCTGAGCATAGAGCTCAATGCAGGGGCTCAATCCCAGGACCCTGAGAACATGACATGAGCAGAAGGCAGAGGCTTAACCCACTGAGCCACCCAGGCACCCCTCTAATAATTCTTATGTCTAGTAGTTAAGAGAATTTTCTTTTTAAAGGAGCTATATTTTTTAAAAAAATTCCAACCTTCCAAAGTTCTTCTAATAACTTTGGATATACATCTAATAGAAGTTAATTAAGAAATCATCGAATTGACTTAACTATTATATTTGAGCTAACCCAAGCATTTTTACTCACGCCAACACCACCTTCTAAATGCAAAATGCAGTTTGTTGTCTTCTCTTCTGAAAAATTTTACAGCTATGATTTGTTATCCTCAGTACTAGAATGAACACTGCATATCTCTGCCAATTGATTTATCAGCTGATGATATTTAAAATGGAGTCAGTGGCATTGAAGAAAACAGGCTAGAAGAGAAGGGGAATAAAAGGGGGTGCATATAGAATTTAAGATGTTGGGCTCTGCTTTGGACTGATTTAGAAATTGTGTTTTTGTTTGCACAAGGACCTCTAAACCTGGATTCAGCAAAACTATAGCTGTATTTGTCTTTCTATGGCATGGGTCATGGTGAAGACTCATAAAATCATTCTGGGCACCTGTGAAAACAGAAAGATATCAAAACAATGGTGCTCTGTCCAGTCTTGTTAATGTATGCTCCTGTGCATGGGCTCTGCTCTCTCTAGGGGTTCGTGCTATGGCCTTGGCCTTTCACCACACTGTCACAGAAGGGTAGGCACTATGGCCTAAATGTAACTTCCTATTGCTTACCTTTAAGACACTTGGTCTTTTTCTTAGGCAAAGTGTACATATTGAGGAATGATGAAAAGGATGCCGTTCAGGGACCTTAAGAAGCTCTTCCTGTGTTCAGGGCTTGATGCGTGTGTGTGTGTGTGTGTTGTATGTGTGCATATGCAGGCATTCAGACATGATAGGTGGGAAGTCATGGAGGAGGCAAAAACAATTTTAAAAAATGATTACAAGAGAAGATGTAAGAAACAGTTGGTTTTGGGCAAAACCATACATTCTTCAATGCTCTAACGATCGTGATCACACATGCACTTCTTACACTGGGCAGCGACCTGACTCCATTGGACTCTCCAACATCAGAGATTATGGTGGGAAAATGAGAAGATGAGGAAGAGGTCATTCTCGACTCAAGGGGTGTCAGTAGAAAAAAAACAGGGTACCTCATCCTCTCAAGGCACACACCTTGCTGAACTGTCCAATGATGGAAGAATGCTTCCATGTTAAGACAGACTCATGTAATGAAATATTATGCAGTCATAAACATGAAGCCTTTTGAACTATTTTTAATGACATAGAAAATGTTCAAACATTAACGGTAACTAAAGAAAATTCAATGCAAAGTAGAACCTACCATGTGAACCACAATACTAAGAAAATTCATGTGCTCATAAATCTATATAATCACTTTCATAGTTCATATATATGTCTATGTGTGTGTAAATAACATATATACTTATTTATATGTATTTACACATACATATGTCAAAGAAATATACTAGGAAAAGATAAAAACAGTTGTTAGTTCCTGGTGTTTGCCTTTGTATTTTTACATTTTTCTGTTTTCCAAGTTTTCTATAATGTATAGTCACAAGAATTAAAATATTTAAGCAAGACAAAATACAAGTTTGAGAAGGTATAAGGCAGGAACATTTAAAAATATGATATAAATGGATGAAATGAGACCATCACCTCAAATTCCAAGTGTCACTTAAAGTTTATTGAGTCTGTTTTGAAATAATCTCAGAAGCTATTTTAGAACAATATCCTTGACTTTAAATGGCTTCAAAATCAATCCATATTCAGGCTCACACTATTTAGCAAATTTCTCTCTCCAAGAAAAATCCTAATGAACTATCTCTATGAGAGCCTAATTTGTGGGGTTCTGGGTTCTTTCTATAATGGAAATGACACATAACAAGTCCTTTTGGTGTTAAATGTCCCTTTCTGAGAATCTCTGATGACCTCTTTCTTCTTCTCCTGAGCTGCAGACTTCCAGACAGCTGGATACGCTCTAGCTTTGTCAAGCTCAACGTGTCCAGATAGTTCATTATCTTCCCCTGTGATCACGGTTAGTGTTCAGACACTACCATCTTCCCACCCATCCAGGCTAGAATCTACAGGATGTCTTTGGTTGCTTCTCCTTCCTGTGCTTCCTACTGGAACTCAGCTCTGCCAGTTGGGAAGTCTGGCCACGCACATCTCCTTGTGACACAAGTTTGGGGCCTTTTGCAGTGGTCAGCTAATAGATTTCTGCCTGCAGGCACTGTCTGCTTCAACCCAGCCTCCTCACTGCTGTCATAGAAACCAGCATTTTATTTCCCAGCTCAAAAATCTTAAGTGGCTCCATGATACCCAGTGAAATTTCTTAGTCAAGGTCTATCTCTTCTAAAGCCTGTCTTTAATTTCCCTCTCAACATCTGGCCAGAAATTCACTCTTCCTCTTCCAAAAACCCACTGCACTAACTCTGCTCATCACTTTTAAGTTTCTACTAAGTTCTAATTATGTATAACTTTGCTTTAGTTTAATATCATGGG